CCAGTACGCGCAGTGTACCCCTTGGTACGCCCAGCGTACTGGGCTGTTTATCACCCTAAGTCATTTAGTGCTTAATCCTTTCATCCATTAGGTCCAACTTTTAGATCTCGTCCATTTTAGGGTTCTAATACATAAAGTTGGCAACTTAATACCTTAGCATGTCTTAATGAAACCCAACATCTATTTTTGTCCAACAATACTCATAAAAAGGACTCAAACTCTTGCATGAGCCAATAACAACCATCAAGATGACATTTTTATGCATCTATAACATCAAAGGGACTAAGATCTAACACCTCTAACTCTTGGAGTTGCCCAAACTCACAAAGAGAACCCATGGGACCAAATAAAGCTCATAAACAAGACCTAAACTCTAACTATCAAAATGAATCATCAAGGTAAGAACTTTATACCTTCAAAAGCTCCCAAAGTTGATGAAGACTCTGGATCTAGAAGCTCAACCTCAACAAATGCTTGGTCTCCAAGTTCCTTCTTCTTGAATACACACAAAAATGCCACAAAATCACTTCCAAGCTTAAGAACACTCAAAGGATGAACTAGGGTTTCAATGGAACGAAATGAACAATGAAGGCTGATGAGGGCAGGTGTCTAAAGGCCATAATGATGTTTAAATAGGGCTCATGCCCTAAAAATTAGGGTTTGGTCTAGGCTGCCGTACGCCCCGCGTATACCACGTACGCTCAACGTATGTGGTTAAGTTCCCCGACTCCAAACGCTCATGTAAGCTAAGCGTATCAAACGTACGCCCAACATACGAGGGACAATTTTCGCAATATTTTCAAACTTAAGGGACCAAACAAGAACATATATGGAATCGAATGTTACAAAAACATAAAAATTATGAAAAAATTAAAGGGTTAAAATGTCATTTCATAGAAAATTAACGGTACTATTTAACGTCGTGTGTCAGAGGAACTATTTACATAATATCGAGAAAACATAAGGACCAGGTTTTCCATTTTCTTGAAGTATAAGTATATGTGCCTATTTCACTAAACCACATGGACCATTATTTAATTTTGCCTACTTTCAATAAAGAAAATGTAAAAAGATTATTTAAAAGCTTTAAAGTTTAAGTTGTTTTTTAGAAAGAGTTAAGACCATTAAAACTCAACCAACTTGTATATTTGGTTTTAAAGGGTCTTTTTTATTATTATTATGGCTCTTTACACTGAATGATTTGTTAAGAAAAGATATATGCACTTTATTTATTGGTTTATTAGGAGAGGTTGGAATAAAATAGTCCAACTGGAGCCATATAGATAGACTAAGGTGGTGTTTGTTTTTTGTCCGCAGATCTTCCTGGTCTCTTCTGTCTGCACGGCGCAGACCATGCGCAGACATTAGTCTTCGCAGACCGTTTGTTTTTTGAAGACTACAGACCTAAAAATATATGCGCCCTCTTCTTGGCGCAGATGTGGACCAGAGCCTTCTAACATCTTTAGACGTCTTCTAGCCTAAAAAAGCACATATACTTTATTTTTTATTTTTAGTTTTTTTTGAATTTATATTTATTCCAACTTTATTAGTGATAAACAATTTGAATAAAAAAGTTACAATACTTAAAAAAAAAAAAAGTTTGACGACACAGACATGATATATTTGACAAATTTATAAATAAAAGTTAATTACAATAATGGTCGTTGAAATGTTTATATATATATATATATATATATATATATATATATATATATATATATATATATATATATATTCTTATATTTTTTGTGCCAAATTTTATAAAACATTATTTAATAAAGCATCTTCAATTTCTTAGAAAAAATATTTATGGTACGTTTTTAATTGATTTAATTGAAAAAAATCGAAGTTTATTTTCATTCATTTATATATCAAATTCTTTGATTCTTAATTACAATGTTTAGGTATAACTTTGCGACCAAAATTGTTGTTTTTTATCAAATATATGCGTTAATTTGTACCATTTTTATTTTCACTATTTATACAATAATACATAAAAGTTGATTTAGATTTGTTAATTATTTATAACAAAGTCATAAATATATGAAAAAATCACTTTGTAGTTTAAAAAAAATCAGTTTATTTAGATTTTAGTTTATTTTAGTAGCCTGCAGATGTTAAAAAAACAATCAGTCTTCTTTTTTCAGACTGCAGACGTTTGGTCCACCTCTTCTGCTGCAGAGGTCTACAAATGTGGTCCGCAGACTGCAGACATTTTGCCACAGAAAAAACAAACAGCACCTAAATGTTTTTCATTTTTTGAAAAATAAAAATATTATGACACATCATTGCATTCAACGTCTCTCAAATATCACTTAGCAAGACTTTGTAGGTCTATTTGTCCTTCTCCACTCTCTCCCTCAATATGTTAATTGCAACCTCTTGCCTATGTCTATTTCTCCTTCTTTCTTGTCTTTCTTTCGTTTGATTGTAGGTGCTTAACAAAAAACACGAAGATGAAGCAACAAATACCATCTCTTTCTCCCGTTTGTTCATAAAGACCAAGACACATTTTTGGAGAAATGAATAGTGTTCCTCTATATTTGAACGAATATTATTCATATCTCCTAAGCTAGGGGTAGAAATGGGATAGGGTTGGAGGAGAATGTGAGAAAAAAATAGGATTTGGATATGCTCTTAGAGGATTCAATAACCCCATATAACACTACCTTAGGATGATGTACTTGCACCTACATAGCGGAAAATATATTGGTTAAAGATCGACACCTTCGAGAAACTCAGTTAATCAAGAAACCAAAAACTCATGTTTAAGTACTTAGAAAAATAAAAAAGCCCACAATTTTCACCAAAAATCAAAAATACATGTTCAAGAACCCATAATTATCACTAGAAAACTCCAAGTTCAAGAAATCAAAAACCTAGAAAAACCTAGAAAAATTGGTAGATCTCTTCTCCATAACTCTAGAATCATCAACTATAATATCGATCTGAAATCGAATCTACATTAGGTCAAATGATTATCATTTGTTTCTTTGGTATCCATTGTAATGTGATTATTGTTAAATGACCGAGTCAAATTAAAGTGTTATGGAAGCATAATCTGATTTATTTGCCTACTTTACTTAATTTTTGTGTTTATTGTTGAGGAAATTCGAGGTTTATGATGGATTTTGTATGAATCTAGTTTAGAGGTTTGTTTTGAAAATGTAACTCATATAGTTTAAGAAACGAAATATGTATGCACCTAGTTGCAGGTTCTTTATTTGATCTAGACTTTTTCCTATTAATTATGTGAATTACTTTACCTTAGTCGATTTTTTGTTTGATCAAAATGTTCATCACTGATATTCTTTTTAACTTTTGACAGTGCAGAGTATTACCGTGAAACTAAAGGATTGGCGAAACTCAACAACGATAACCGGAACGAGCTCAAGGTCAAGGAAGTCATAAATGGACACACACACACACATTGAGAGAGAGAGAGAGAGATGTAGGTTGATCTATTTTTTAAAAATATATCAAGAAAATATTTAAAAAAAATATAAAAAAGAAATAAAAAAGACATTTCTTAGTTTTTCAGAAACGATATCCACAAAAAAGATTTTACATTTCGTTAACACTTTTTTTTTTCCAAAACACATATACCAAATTTTCAGTTTGCTCTGAAGATTTTTATGATAATAACATTTACTTTATTCTCCAACTTCGAACTTCTAATCAGTATAAATTAAAAAGATTTTAAATCTTATCCATAGTTTTTTACAAAAACACTTGGATCAAATTTTGGATTTACTATAGTTTTTTATGATAATAACCTTTACTTTACTCTCCAACTTCTAACCTAGAAAAGTGAACGCGACATAATGCTCTAGGTATAAGCGTTTGGATAGAAAACCCGAACCGAAACTGAAACCTGAACCGAACTGAATTAGGACCGAATAACCTATTTGGGTCAGTTTCCATGTATGTATTTTAGGCTTATTCGGTTCTCGGGTTATTCAGTCCTGGTTACCCGAATAAAATCTTAATCGGGCCTAAAAGACCGAACCGGAAATTGAAAAGTTGTAATTTTTAATGTAACTTCAACTGTCATAATGTATTCGTTATTTATCCGATTTCTTTTTCAGCTTGTAGGTTACAACTTAAACTGCTGTTTACATAGTTTACATGCATTTTTTGGTTATATATTCAATGGGATATAGACCCATAAACATGAGGTATTTAAGCCAAATTTAATGTTTAAGCATGTTTGCATAATTTTATGGCAACTTTGAACTATCATAGCATCTTCGTTATTTATCCGATTTGCCTGATTTTTTTACAACTTGTAGTTAACAATTTAAACTATTGTTTACATAGTTTACTTGTATTTTTTGGTTGTATATTCAATGAGATAGGCTCCTAAACAGGGGGTATTAAAGTTGTTTTTTTAAACTAACATTTACTTTATTGAAATAAATTCTACATATGTTCGAGATGTTTTGGCCCTCGTAGAAAAAAATTTCAATATTTGTAGAGCTATGGTTGGATCTTTCGATCCACATTTGAATTTAAATAATTTGACTTCCTTTTATTATTATAAATGTTATCCGGTTTATTTGGATTATTCGGTTCTTTCTGTACTATTCGGTTCTTAACTATATTGTAAATGTTATTCGGTTTATTCGTGTAATAACCAAACCGAACCGAACCAATTAATATTGAAACCAAACCGAACTCGTATTGATTTAATCAGACCGGTTTTCGATTCCTCTAAACTATCTTATTTGATTTTCGATTTATTTAGGTTCGGGCTTCCAACCCGAATAACATCCCTAGAATGCTCTCATTAATCTTTTAGACCGCATGTGAGGTCGAGAATAAACTATTTATTTGTATTTTGATTTAACTAAAGATACAAAAACATAAAAGTCAAAATTTGAAGTTCACCAAATTTGACTTGAGCCAATATTTGAGCAAATCTATAAAACGAACATGTCCATCCATTTCAAATCCATATAACCTCTCTCCTATCAAATCATCAAGCCACTACTATACTCATGTTCCTACTTCTTCTCTTCCTTTTGTCCCCAATCGCCTCATCCGCCGAGCTCTGTCACCCTGATGACAAAGCTGCAATTCTCAAATTCAAAAAAAACTTACCAATGTGGAACTCAGATGGCGATTGTTGTGACATATTTGATTGTGACCAAACCACACATCGTGTCATACGCTTTGTTCTCACCCACTCTAACCTCGCAGGCACAATCCCAGATTCCATTGGTGATTTGACGTATTTAAACACAGTTCTAATTACCAAGATGCCGTTTCTTGTTGGTGAAATCCCACAAAGTGTGGCAAAACTGAAATATGTCGACTCTTTTGAAATCAGTTGGACCAACGTCTCCGACATCGTGCCTCCGTTTCTTTCAGAGCTCAAAAATGTATGGATTCTTAATCTTTCGTATAACAATTTATCAGGTCTAATCCCATCGTCTCTAGCCACTCTCCCACATCTGATCAGACTAGACCTGAGTCGTAATAGACTCACCGGGTCAATCCCTGAGTCATTCGGTCATCTTGTATCTCCAAACTCGCAAGGATCACTATCATTGATTTTATCTTATAACATGCTCTCTGGTGAGATCCCTAAATCTGTTGGAAACACGAACTTCAACCGGTTTGATGTATCAAGGAACAACTTGTCAGGAGATGCTTCCATGTTGTTTGGTGCATTGAAAAATACGTGGGTTCTTGATATCTCGAGAAACAATTTCGAGTTTGATTTATCACCAGTGAGTTTCATGACCCACGGGTTGGTGTATTTGGATTTATCACATAACAAGATATATGGGAAGATATCGTCTCAAATAGTGGAAGCTATTGATTTACAGTATGTGAATGTGAGTTACAATAGATTATGTGGGAAGATTCCTTCACCATGGAAACTTAAATATGAAGGATTGGATAACACTTCGTTCTTGCATAATCGATGTTTGTGTGGATCACCACTCGCTCCATGCAAATGATCACATGAAAAAACACGTGTCGAAATTTGTTGTGTATTTCTTTCATTTTTGTTTTTGTCAAATTTTCAAGTCGGCAGAATATATATAGTTACGTACACATTATTTTAAAAAGTTTAATTATTTCAAAATTTATTAGGGAGATATCTAGTGGCTCCAAATGCATTGGATGCTCACTATTATCCCACCATTATTTCCTGACAGCGATAATTTGACATTTGTACCTCTTATATAGTCTTATTTCACATACACAAAGTCAAACTTTTGCAATCAATGATTTCGACAATATCCAACATTTTCAACACATCTATAAAATGAACATGACCACCCATTTATAATCTATAATATCTCTCCTATCATCATTCATCAACCCACTATTCATGTAATCATGTTGCTACGTACTTTTTCTCTTCTTTTTGTTGCCAAAGATGGCATCCACCGAGCGTTGTCATCCTGACGACAAAGCTGCAATTCTCAAATTCAAAAACAGCTTCTCAAACGGGCTTTCAAGTTGTGTCAGCATGGACTCCAAATCGCGATTGTTGTACCATATTTGATTGCGATGAAACCACAAATCGTGTCATAGACTTTTCCATCACCTACTCTAACCTCGTTGGCACAATCCCAGATGCCATTAGTGATCTAACGTATTTGAAGACGCTTCTATTGCACAAGATGCCGTTTCTTGTTGGAGAAATCTTACAAAGTTCGACTAAACTGAGATATCTCACGTCAATCGATATCAGTTGGACCAACGTCTCCGGCTATGTGCCTCCGTTTCTTGCAGAGCTTAAGATCGAGTGTGATGTTCATTAATCTTTCATTTAACAATGTATCAGGTCTAATCCCATCGTCTCTAGCCACTCTCCCAAATCTTATCGCGCTAGATTTGAGTCGTAATAGACTCACCGGTCAATCCCTGACTCATTTGGTCATATTGTATCTCAAGACTCGCAAGGATTATCATTGAGTTTATCTCATAACATGCTCACCGGTGAGATCCCTACATCTCTCTTGGGGATACAAACTTCTATCGGTTTGATGTATCAAGGAACAACTTGTCAGGAGACACTTCAATGTTGTTTGGTGCATCGAAGAATAATACTACTTTTTTAGACATCTCGCGAAACAATTTTGAGTTTGATTATTTGTCGGGAGTGAGCTTCATGACCAATGAGTTGGCGGAATTGGATATATCACATAACAAGATATACGGGAAGATACCGTCTCAAATACTAGAAGCTTTGGAGTTACAGTCTTTGACGTCAGTTACAATAGATTACTAGATTATGACCCGCGTTAAACGTTGGGAATATAAATTAAATGCATATCACATTAATAGGTGACATTGTCTTAGGTGGATTTTTAATAAAAAAATGTTAGTTAGATTCATTTTTAAAGTTTTTGAACAAAATTTATTAAATAAAAATATTTAATATTTATATTAGAGCAATTTGGTTTTTCAATATAATAATTTTTGACATAAATGATTCACGTGATCTTTGTTTTATCAAAGTATATTGTTGTAATTTATAATATATATATATATATATATATATATATATATATATATATATATATATATATATATATATATTGTAGCACCCGATTCCTGGTACGTATTTAATTTCATTGAAATGTTACAATTTACTCTGGGACTCGGCGAGTTGGAGGCCCAACTCGTCGAGTAGACTCGACTGTTGGATCGGGGGTTTAAGTGACCTACTCGACGAGTCAGAAGACCGACTCGACGAGTAGGAGCTATCTGGACAAAACCCTAATATTTAGGGTTTGCATCCTATTTAAACACTTTATCTTGTCCCAACCCAGCCTCCATCACCCTCCCAACTCAAAGAAACCCTAGATTGAAACCCTAAACCATTTTTGAGTGATTGAGCTCTTTTGGTGCCTTTTTGTGTGTGTTTGAAGTTGAGGGAGAAGAAGAGAGCTTAGGAGATCAAGAGGAAGCTAGTAGATCCCAACGTTTTGCTTCATTCTCAATCCATTCAAGGTAAAAAGCTTGAACCATGACCATCTATTTCCTAGATCTTGTTTTGGGGCTATTTCTCCACCTTTTCTAAGCTTTTGAGAAGCTATGTTCTGTTTTGCTTGTATATGTGGGTTGTGCTTCAGATCTGGAACCATTGAGGGTTCCCATGGCATAAAGGTGCCAACTTTATGGCCATGGGAGACCCATGCATCATATAAACCCCATTTTATAGCCTTTTGAGCCAAAAGCCCCATGCATGGACATCAAGTTCGTAGCTTTACGTATAAAAGGGACCCTAGGAGGTCAGATCTATGATTAGGATGCATTAAGTCCCACTGAAATCGAATGTATAGTTTTGGACAAAGAGGGACTCGGCGAGTCACTTAGGTGACTCGGCGAGTCGGGACGCTTTTTCCCTAAAGTGTCTCCTGGAAATGGTTTTGGTTGAGTGGAAGGAACACTCAGCCAGATAGCGGTTTGTTCTGGACCTGGAACTCATGGGACTCGACGAGTGTATGAACAGACTCGGCGAGTCCAAGGCAATCTCCCAACTTATGAAGACGGACCCGGCGGGTTCAGGAGGAACTCGGCGAGTCATCGCTTACGCTTCGAGGTTGGGCGTGGTGTTGATGCAGAGAGGACATGTCATCGCTTACGCTTCGAGGCAGCTGAAGCCTCACGAGGCAAACTACCCGACACATGATTTGGAGTTGGGGGCGGTCGTCTTCGCCCTCAAGATTTGGCGACACTACCTCTATGGGGTCCGTTGTACCATCTACATGGACCACAAGAGTTTGAGGTACCTCATGGATCAGCCGAATCTGAACATGAGGCAGCGTCGGTGGTTAAATGTGGTGAAGGATTACGATTGCGAGATCCTTTACCACCCGGGGAAAGCCAATGTAGTGGCCGATGCGCTTAGCCGCAAGGCAGCGCCGATCAGAGACATCTGCATGAGGATGACGGCGGTGACTCCTCTTTTGGAGCAGATCCGAGAGGCCCAGCAGGAGGCTATGAAGGAGGAACATCGGAAGAGCGAGCGTATTGTGGGACAGATTTCCTCCTTCGACTATGATAGTCGTGGGTTATTGACGCTACACCTCAGGGTGTGGGTTCTCTATCATGGGGGTGTGCGCCAGGTTCTGATGGAGGAGGCGCACAAATCTCGATTCTCGATTCATCCCGGGGCGACGAAGATGTACAGGGATCTTCGACCCGATTAATGGTGGCCCTGCATGAAGCGGGACGTCGCTTGGTACGTAGAGCGATGCTTGACCTGCAGGAAGGTCAAGGCCGAGCACCAGAGGCCACACGGCAAGATGCAGCCGCTAGACATTCCCATGTGGAAATGGGAAGATATTACTATGGACTTCATCACCAAGCTTCCCAGGACTGCACGGGGAGTGGATTCGATTTGGGTTATCGTGGATCGGTTGACCAAGAGTGCCCATTTCATACCGATCCAGGAGAGCATTTCGGCCGAGAAGTTGGCCGACATCTACATCCGAGAGGTAGTAGCTCGGCAGACGGATCGAGACGTGCGGTTTACTTCCATGTGCCAGTTTCGGTGATTTCGGATCGAGACGTGCGGTTTACTTCCAGGTTCTGGAAGAAGTTTCACTACGAGTTGGGTACTTGTCTGCATTTCAGCACAGCGTTTCACCCGCAGACGGATGGTCAGAGTGAGCGGACCATCCAGACTTTGGAGGATATGCTGCGGGCCTGCGTTCTAGAGTTTGGTGGTAGCTGGGATACCTACCTTCCATTAGCTGAGTTCTCCTACAACAACAGCTACCACGCGAGTATCGACCGTCCTCCCTTCGAGATGTTGTACGGAAGGAAGTGCAGGACCCCGATATGTTGGGGCGAAGTTGGATAGAGGGTCATGGGGGGCACCGAAGTGGTGCTCAAGACGACAGAGAGAATTCAGTAGGTTAGGAGCAGGCTTCAGACTGCTCAGAGACGGCAGAAAAGTTACGCCGACAAGCGCCGATCATACCTAGAGTTCCAGGTCGGGGATATGGTCCTCCTGAAGGTGTCGCCTTGGAAAGGCGTCATCCGATTCAGGAAGCGGCGCAAGTTGGGCCCCAGATACATTGGACCTTTCCAGGTTATAGCCCGGGTGGGGAAGGTGGCATATAGGCTGGACCTGCCAGCCGAACTCAGTCAGATTCACAGTACGTTTCACGTCTCCCAGTTACGGAAGTGCCTGGTGGACAACTCGACAGTTGTACCCTTGGAGGATATTCAGGTGGCTGACAGCCTGAATTACATCGAGCGGCCAGTAGCGATCCTCGACAGGAAGTCGAAGGACCTAAGGAACAAGAGAGTGGAGCTGGTAAAGGTGCAATGGCAGCACCGCAAGGGATCGGAATGGACTTGGGAGCCAGAAAAATGAGATGAGGGAGCACTACCCCGAGCTTTTTCCAGAATCAGCAGCAGACTTCGAGGGCGAAGTCTAAAATAAGTGGGGGAGATTTGTAGCACCCGATTCCTGGTACGTATTTAATTTCATTGAAATGTTAAAATTTACTCTGGGACTCGGCGAGTTGGAGGCCCAACTCGTCGAGTAGACTCGACTGTTGGATCGGGGGTTTAAGTGACCTATTCGACGAGTCGGAAGACCGACTCGACGAGTAGGAGCTGTCTGGACAAAACCCTAATATTTAGGGTTTGCATCCTATTTAAACACTTTATCTCATCCCAACCCAGCCTCCATCACCCTCCCAACTCAAAGAAACCCTAGATTGAAACCCTAAACCATTTTTGAGTGATTGAGCTCTTTTGGTGCCTTTTGTGTGTGTTTGAAGTTGAGGGAGAAGAAGAGAGCTTAGGAGATCAAGAGGAAGCTAGTAGATCCCAAGGTTTTGCTTCATTCTCAGTCCATTCAAGGTAAAAAGCTTGAACCTTGACCATCTATTTCCTAGATCTTGTTTTGGGGCTATTTCTCCACCTTTTCTAAGCTTTTGAGAAGCTATGTTCTGTTTTGCTTGTATATGTGGGTTGTGCTTCAGATCTGGAACCATTAAGGGTTCCCATGGCATAAAGGTGCCAACTTTATGGCCATGGGAGACCCATGCATCATATAAACCCCATTTTATAGCCTTTTGAGCCAAAAGCCCCATGCATGGACATCAAGTTCGTAGCTTTACGTATAAAAGGGACCCTAGGAGGTCAGATCTATGATTGGGATGCATTAAGTCCCACTGAAATCGACTGTATAGTTTTGGACAAAGAGAGACTCGGCGAGTCACTTAGGTGACTCGGCGAGTCGGGACGCTTTTTCCCCAAAGTGTCTCCTAGAAATGGTTTTGGTTGAGTGGAAGGAACACTTAGCCAGATAGCGGTTTGTTCTGGACCTGGAACTCATGGTACTCGACGAGTGTATGAACAGACTCGGCGAGTCCAAGGCAATCTCCCAACTTATGAAGACGGACTCAGCGGGTTCAGGAGGAACTCGGCGAGTCATTGACTGAACATCTTCTTATGAATGAAGATGAACTCGACGAGTTCAAGAACGAACTCGGCGAGTCGTTTGAAGATTGTCCGATGTGTTGTTGAAGGCGAACTCGTCGAGCTCTTGCTAGACTCGACGGGTAGGAGCGGATTTATGACATTTTGTGGTTATGGGGACTCGACGAGTTGCCGGGCCAACTCGACGAGTCGAGTCAACCAGATGTTGACTTTGACCATGGATTTGACTTGGACATTGATTGGGTTTGGGTTGACCCTTGTAAGGGTTGCGAGTATGAGTATGAGTTGATAACTTGGAAGAGTTGTCGTGTAGGGATTGAGGAGTCGGGGAGAGTCGATTTCCACATCGAGA